TTAGCATATTTCCATGGCTATTTAGATAAATTTGTGTACCCTTACTGCTGAAAACTATACTTAGGTTCCCATAACTACATATCTGGAGTTTGGTTCAAATGTGTTGAGCCTTGCACTCGAATGGGTTTTAATTATATATATATATATATATATCTGGAGCCAAAAGCCTTGTATGTTTTGGCCTTTGGATGGAGAAGACACATACCTTGTCGTGCCCCAGATGGCTGTATGTTGACCTTTGAACTCGCTATGGCCATCACAAAATAGACGTGATATCACTCGACATTATCATGACCAAAGTAAAAGTGATATATATTTGATACCTTGACCTAGTCGTGTAATCTGTATAATGTGTGTTTTTTAGGTCAAAAGTGATGGGTTCATCCTAACAAAATAAAAAAAGAGGCAATCTAATAAATCGAAATTTGGGGAATATTAAAGGGTAATTTGTACGTTTGAATTTAGGGGAGTATAATCAATTTCGTATATGTTATGTCTATATATAGCTTAAATATTATGTGTATTGGTTAAATAAATTACTTTAAATTTGTTAGAACTCCAATGGTAAGATTAATTTAAAATCGAACTATGTTAATCTTTCTGTTAAATATAGTCTTTTTAAAATGGGAAGAATCAACAGAGTAATATCGATACTGATGCAAGTAGTATCGATATTGAGGGGGTATTGATACTATGAGTAACGTATTGATACCATTGATAACAAAATACAAAATTGGTATCGATACCGTAATAAAGTATAGGTACCATAATATAGTAGTATCGATACCATGATAGGAGTATCGATACTATTGAGCCAAAAATTTTAAGATACGCTGAGATTGTTATAGAAAATTCAAAACACATTTAAGTGAATGGAAGTAATGATCAAAAGCATAATTTAGAACTGCATAAGTAATCTAAAAAGAGAAAAAAGAAAAAGTGTTCATAAGTAATATGACAATTTCTATACTTACTATAATCACTGTTAAAGCTCACATGATAAATAATGAACTCTTTCATAACACTTGAGTTGAATGCTACCATGTAAGGACACATCATGGTGGAACAAGAAAGTAAAGGCCGTTATTAAGAACAAACAAATTTGCTATATACTACTGCTGATACAAAAAAATTTGAGAAATACAAAATGGCAAATAATTTTCAAGACATTTGTAAGGAGGCCATTTGCTATATACTACTGGTGATACCAGGAGTTTCGAGAAATATAACCTAGCTAAGAACAACCAAAACTTTTGTAAGGAGGCTATTTGCTATAGACTACTGAATAGCACATCAAATGAGTAGAAGAAGATTACCTTGGCACCTTTCTTGTATAAATATAGATTGCTCAAATTTCAAAAGATTAACACTTATGAATCATACTATGAAACCTGTGGGCAAACTTATTGAGCAATGTTTATGCAAGCATAATAAGGTTGCTAATAATCAGCTTGCTCTCCTGGTAAGACAACCCACTGTAGATACTAATAATCTCTTGCAACAACTTACTGAGAAGTTTGGAGTGTCATAGTGAGATTTGTACATGGTTTTTATTGATTTAGTGTAAACTTATGACAGAATACCTTGAGATGTTCTTTGGTGAAGAAGACGATTGTTTCTTTCAAATATGTTAGTGTAATACAAGATACGCATGAGAGAGTAGTTACAAATGTAAGGACTTGTAGTGTATTGATGTATGAGTTTTGAATTGTAAAAAGGGTGCACCAAGACTCAGCTTTCTTTCCTGCTCTCTTTACCCCAGTAATGGATAAGATAACTAAAGACATTCAAGATAAAGTCCTTATCCGTGTGCTATTTGCAGATGATAATGTATTGGTTGGATGAGACTAAAGAATATATTAATACCAAATTACAGATGTGGAGGCAAACACTAGAAACTCAGCGGTTTAGATTGGCAGATTGAAGACTTAGTATAGGGAACATACATTTAGTAAAAGAACGAATAACGATCAAAACGTGATAACAATCAATGGCTAGAGATCCCAGTGGCGTGTATTTTCTGTATCTATCTTATTCTGCCTTATTCCTTCTTTATTATGTGTACAACAGATGCTTTAGTTGCCATCCTTCAAACCTTCTTTTGTCTCTTTTGTATTTCATTTTACAAGACTACCCTGCCATCTTACTCTGCCTAAAATTGAAAGTTTCGTTCTGAGTATTTGTATAAGATGTTGTCATACACATGGTTTGGCTACTGTAACCTACTCAACTCATTCATCTCATGCATATATAGGTAGTACATCAATACGTAAAGTTATCTGTTTCATCCATTTAAATTGGTTTCAGAATGTCCCCTCTCCCCTTGTTTGTTTCTCTATACATGCTTACAACTCATGTCATGTTGGCTGTCAAATAATCAAGCAGTATTCTTCTGTTTCCCCCTCTATGGTGAATGTAAATTTTCACTATGAGAAACTTCGACGAAAGAGAGGAGTAGGTCATGAACTCGAAGCAGAAGAGAAGGCGTACCTGATATTGAGCCTAGTGGATTGATGGAGGCGTGAGAGTGGTGACTGATGGCGCGACGCTGGGGACCGATGGCGTGAATGGTGGCAACTACAAGCCCGATTTGCTGAAGAAGATACCAAGCGTAGAGGATTGATGGAGGATCGATAGTGATGAAGAAATTAGGGCTCGGGTAGGAGAAAAATTTGGGGCACTACAGCAAAATAGAGTTTTAGCGGCGTTTTTTTAGTCTTATAGCGGCGTTTTTAAGCGCCGCTAAAAGTATTGTGGCGATAGGAAAAATGGCGCAAGAAGCGCCGGCAATACCAGCGCCGCCAAAGTTAGCGGCGTTTGAGAACAAAAACCGCCGCAATAGGTCAATATCTATTACGACGTTTTTTGAACAAACGCCGCAAAAGGTCGATATCTATAGCGGCGTTTTTGGAATAAACGCCGCAAAAAGTTATGCTATATAGCGGCGTTTCTAGAAAAAAAGCCGCAAAAGGTCAGATCTATAGCGGCGTTTTTGGATACAAATGCCGTAAAAGGTCAGACCTATAGTGGCGGTTTTGGACACAAACGCCGTAAAAGGTCAGACCTATAGTGACGTTTTTGGACACAAACGCCGCAAAATGTCATACCTATAACGGCGTTTTTTAACACAAACGCCGCAAAAAGTCAGACCTATAGCGGCGTTTTTGGATACAAACGCCGCTAATTACCTTTATTTAGCTAATATTAATTGATTTTGCATATTTCATTTCTGATATACATCACCTAAATTTATATCTAGCTTTATCTAATTAACAACAACCATACATTTTAATTAAGACAAAAAACATAAAGAAAAATTCTTAACAACAAAAATAAATTAAAGCTTTTTTATGGAGAGAGAACCTTAAAAGATATTAAAGTACAAATGAGTTACAACTGAACCTCAAAGTGTAGATATACATGGATTTGTTGTTCGATACATCCTCAATTTCACTAGCGTCATCATCATAACCTCCAGATATGCATTCTAAAGCTACTTTGTTTCCCACTTCATTGGAATTTGTCATATTCATCGTCTTGACATCTTATTTGAAAGTATCATTTGACAGTGAATGATCTCTCCTCAATAGATTAAAAACAAATGGGAAACGCTGTGCCAGTCTATTGAAGAAGCCGCTTTTTGTTGAAGTTTGTTCTTCAAGATTACTGCAATTACAATAATTTAGATGAGACTAAGAAGAGAAGGAAACAACCAGCAGAACTATTGTTCTGAACTATTGTGGCGTTTATTACAAAAGCACCACTAAATTACATAACTATTACAACATTTGAACAAAAACAACACTATTGTCCAATTCTATAGCAACATTTGTATAAAAACGCCCCTATAGTACTACTCTATAGTGGCGTTTACATAAAAACGCCATAAAAGTCTTATTCTTTCCCGGTGTTTCTACACAAATGCCACTAACATAATAGTATTTTGCGGTGTTTATAAAAAACGCCGCTAAAAATAACAAATTAAACCCTTTATTAGGAAAGAATACCCAAAGTAATTTGAAAGGGGAACAAAGTGAACCCTTTGAAAGTGGATGGAACAAGGAAGCATACATGACTATTGCGGCGTTTATAATAAAAACGCCACTACATTTCTTGGAAATAGCAACGTGTGTCTAAAGACGCCGCTAAATATGAAACCTATAGCAGCGTTTGTCTAACTACGCCGCTATAGTACTACTATGTTGCAGCGTATGTTGAAAAAACGCCTCTATAAATTAATCTTATTACGGTGTTTTTATAGAAATGCCACTATATATGAAACCTATAGCAGCGTTTGTCTAACGACGCCGCTACAGTACTACTATTTTGCGGCGTTTGTTTAAAAAATGCCTCTATAAATTAATCTTACGTTCAATCAATCAATAAATGTATATTTAAAAGCTTCTCAAAACCCACATATTTAAACAATGTGAGCTTATGAAATCCCGCATTTTTTTTTCATTTTTTCACCCCCAAATTTCTTTTTATTATTATTATTATTATTTCAATCTAATAGGTGTCTTTGTTGCCGCTAGGTTTCTGCCTGTGTAACAAAAAAATAGTGTTAGATTGAAAAATAATCTTCAATGGGTGTTAGAATGAAAAAATGTTTTTAAATGAAACATATTGGGTAAAAAGGTTCAAATTTTGGGTTTTTACCACAGTTAAAAAATAAAAATAAAAAGCCTCTCATTGAATCACCGGATGATATGACCTCACAGTGTATCCTTTTGTTCTGTATTATTCTATTTTGGTGTACACTGGTGGCAGGGGCAGGAAGAGGTAGAGTAAATATTACTAGAATCCACTTTTTTAATTTTCCATAAAGTGAGAACATGTTTACATTTTGTCTGGTTATAAAAGTAAGAACATAAAGGAACACATTCATGGAAGTTGCAATGCACTGGTAAAGAACCAAAATTCTTTAGAGAAAGTAAAAAAAAAAAGGCTAAAAGGAAAAGCTTAAACGATTAGATTCGTTGAATGTTATGAAGTACAAAGGAACAGTAAATACCTTAGGTAACTTGGGTTCTACTATCAGTCCATGGCAAACCGACAGAAACAGATGAAGAAGAGCCTAAGTTGTCTGAAGAACTTGGGAATTTACCCTTCTTAGACCATTGCCAGATCTTGGAAACAGAAAAGCTTTCCCCTTTACTTGTTAAGTTAATCTTCTTTCCCTCAAAATCCCCATCATTTGATGAATTCCCATTCTGTCCACCTCTTCCCTTCACAAGCTTCATGGTACTAGCAGTGTCATTGGTTCCTCTAGAGGGGCATAGAGTCACTTGCAACTCATCAGCAACCACATATAGGAATGACCCCATTGAGTAACATCTCCTAGCATCCAAATTACTGCTACTAGTCTCCCATTCTTCTACTTCTCTCCCTTTCCCTTCATTTGAACTTCTAAATTTGCCTAAAATGACAGAAAACACCCTCTTCCCAATGTCATTCTCCGTTGGTTTAGGGCCAAGAGACACCCTACTTCCTCCATTGCTTAATAACATAGTTTCCTCCCTAGGGTATTCAAAGTCAAAAACCGGGTTCTCAATTGGGAACTCAGTTGTGAAAACGGTCCCTCTACAAAGGGGGCAAGTGGAATTTGACATCAACCATGTGTCAATGCAGTCTATATGGAAAGCATGGCTACACAAAGGGAGTAATCTCAATTTGTCTTCTTCCAAGAACTCACAGAGACAAACTGCACAATCAAATGGCTCTTTCAACCCCATTATTTCCTTGTAAAGAAACACAGGCAGAACATCTATGAAAGATTGAGCTAGACCTGAATCATGGAGATTGAAGAGTTGCTGTAACTGCCTTTGATAAGCATCAGTCCCTGACAATTCTGGGTATCTTTCAGATTCTGATAAAGATGAGGGAGACCTATGCTTCATGAGAAATCTAACAAGCAAGAGAAGCAGACCAGATATGAAAAATATCACCGCCAGAACAACAATGATGAATAAGACAGCTGGGCTTATTTTACTAGCTGAAGATGATGACGGAACAGGGTTTGGTGGCTGCTTTTGGTAATCATTACTGTATGGCAATGGAGGAGATGAGAAAGAAGAAGAAGAAAGTAAAGAGTGAGCATGGTGATAATTCAAAACACCAGCTTTTGACTTGGTTTCAGATTGTACCCAAGACATTTTAGGAGAAGGGCATGCTAAAAAACACATCTTTCTTCAACGTTCTTGAATTAGAAAAACTCTGAAACCATGCTTTCTTGGTTCCTTTCAGATTAAACCCAACTCATAAACTACAATGAACTAGCATTGGGCCCATTATTCCTTGCACCCGCAGCAAAACCAGCTCAGAAGCATAAAACTAAGCTTACACTAAGGTTTACAAGTAAGAAGATTGCTTAGGTGGAAGAAGAAGAAGCACTCTTCTCTAACTCCTGAAAGCGTAAAGCAAAGCAAGGTTTTAGTTGACCTACCTCAGAAATTAGGCAAGTGTGGCGTCATGGAATCCCAAATTTTAATAAGTTGACCGGGTTTGTTGCAGTACACCCCATTTGTTCTTTTTTGGAGTTTTCAGTTCCCTCTACATAATGGTTTGTTATAGGCAAAGATGAAGAGAGAGTGCGGCAGGTAAGCTTCAAAAAGTAGAGGTTCGGGGACCAAAGTGAAGGTAGTTTTTTTTCCCTGTTAAGAAATGAGGGTTAACTCAAAAACAATTACTGTAATTCCATTAATGAACCAGTGCAGATGTACATGGTTTATATAGCATTTGGTTGCTGAGCTAGGAAGCAACCTACTTAACAGAATTTGACAATTATAACCGTGTAACAACACCCTAATAGACTATGGATTTAATTGCCTGCAACACAGTGTACACCACCAGCTATGAGCTTAACTTCAAGCTTCTTGAATCTTTTCCATGCACACCATGCATTATGCCACACATATTAACCTGCAGCTCGATCATTCTTCCAACATTCCTCCTGCTTTTTCTTCTCCTCCTTCCTTTTTAAGACAAACATTCACTTGCTCTCGAAACACTGCAAAAGCTATCTTTGACAAGGGCTTTGTGAACCCATCTGCAAGTTGATGTGCAGCAGGGACATAGCTAACATATAATTGATTTCCAACAATTTTCCCCTGACAAATTGCACATCTAAATCGACATGTTTAGATTGTGCATGTTGAACAGGATTTGCACTTAACGATATGGCATTCGTGTTATCACACCAAACAATTGGTTTTTCCTGTTGTGTTACTCCAATATCATTCAACAAGGCATCTATCCAAGTAACCTCTGCAACATCATCTGCAAGACTATGATATTCGGCTTCCATGGTGGATCTGGAGACTGTAACATCCCAAACTACAGGTTAGTGACTAAATTGTAAAATTTCAGAATTTGGTGATTAAAGTACAAAAGTTGAATAGTTCAATGACTTATTTAAAAATAATATCTAAAGGGTTATTAGTAATTATTGAAAGAGTCAAAGGACAAATAGGTCATTGAACAAGTAAAATAATTAAATAATAATTAGTGGGTATTATAATACCCATGTGATGCATGTTTGAAGAGATAAGTTTCCAGACTTATCTTCTTCTTCATCTTCTTCTCTTCTTCAACGTGAGGCTCCAAGCAAAGGTAAGTTTTCTAATTAGTTGATTATTTGTTCAATTAAAGGTTGGGTTTTGATCCTTAGATGATAATTAAGCTTAAGGAAAGCTTAATTTGTCTTAAAATCAAAAGATTATGAAGTTATGAAAGATTAAAGAAAATGAGTTTTTAAGAGAATTTCTGGAAATGAGTTGATAAGTTGAATTTGAAACTAAATTTGATTTGTCATTAATTTAATTAAGAGATATGAAGTGATATAATTGAATTTAGAGTATATTGAAAATTTGGGTATGATTTCTGATTCTATATGGAGAAAGGAATTTTGAGGTTAAAGATGGTTTATATGAATATAAGTTGGTTTATGTAATGGTAGTTTGGTTTAATGACATGATAGGGGTTTAAAATAGAAGAATTGAGTGAAGAGTTGATGATTTTCAGGCATGAAAATGTGATTTCTAGGCAAAGAGTATCGGTACCCATTCAATAGGTACCGATACCCTAGGGGGAGGTATTGATACCCCCTAAAGGAAAAATGAAATTTTGGTTAAATAAACTAGCTTAAGTTATTAACATCAAGTTATAAGGTTTAGGCTTCAGATAATCATCTCGGAAATTATGTTTATGTAGATATTGAGCGTAAACAAGTTCTGGAACAATCAATGAATTAGGATCGAATCAAAGCAAGGCTAAGGTGAGTGTAATTTATTTTGTACTTAGGTTATTGAACAAACATTGGCTTGCGATGAGCTAATGATGGAGTTACTATGGTAAGAAGTAACTTCTAAAATGTTATGTGATTATTATGTGTGCATTAGTACAAAGAAATTGATGTATATTATTATATGTTATATGATTTACATGTTTACGTGAAAATGCAACATGTGATATATGTTATATGATATGACATGCGAGTTTACATGAACAAATGAGAAATGATATAAGCCATATGAAACGATCTACGTGAACGCATGCACTTGTGATACATGTGATATGATATAAGATATACGATTATACATACATGTGGTATGTGACATAAAAGAAAGAACAAGTGATATGAAATGTATAAATGATAATGCCCATGTTATATAATATGAGAGCTAGTAGTATAGTTGGCATGCCAAGAGTCGAGAGTTTCATAGGTCCTTTGGGTAAACTCATAGGTCCTTCGGGATAGATTAATAGGTCCTTCGGGACAAAATTTCATATATCACTCAGTGGGACTTATAAGAGCTGTGGTGACAACATTAGTTCACAACCTCAATGTACTCACATACCTTAAGTTCTCGCAGGTGTACATGGGCTAATAAAGAGATTAAACAAATATACTGAATGTGATTTGTTATATGGAATAAATTACAGGATTAATGTATTGGTTATATGAAAAGATATATATTTTTAGTTATATGAATTGTATTACATGAATTATACGATGTTAAGTGTATTTCTTTATGAGTGCATGTATGCATTTTGATATATGAATTGTTTTATGGTTTTTATTATATGTTTTATATGCCTCACTAAGTCAACGACTTAACGTGTGATTGTTTCACACGTAGGTTCCGAGAAGAGAAAGAATGACAAAAGTTATGCAAGACATGCTAGTTCCTTCTTTCCAAAGATCATATCAGAAAAGAAAATAATATGTATTTTGTAATAAAGATAGTGGTTGGCATGTAATAAAGATTTGAATCTGATATGCTCTAAATGGTTTGTAAAATCATATGATTGAGTTTTGAAATGTTTTAAATGTTTATATGTAAATGGTAATTTTATACGGATGAAAACTTAGATTTTTATGAATTTTTACATATTTTACAAAAGTACTGTAGCAGTATTGTAGCAGGGTATTGGTACATGTAGCAGGGGTATCGATACCCCTAAAGTAATCTAAAAAAATTTAGCATTCAATACTGTTCACGGTATTGTTCATTACTGTTCATTGTACTGTTCATACCGTATAGTATTGTTCATAAAACGTATATTTTCTTAAATTGGTTATAATGAACATAATTCAACAATATTTTATCATATTTTCTTAATATAAGTCCAAATGATCTGCTATTTTAAAAAATTAAAGGTTTTGAAATGTCAATGTGACATCTCGGACTCGTATCCGGGTCGGATATGTGTTGGGGTGTTACAGAGACAACCTTATGTTTCTTTGTACTCCAGGACACCAAGTTACCACCGGGTAAAACACAATGACCTGACATCGATCTCCGATCATCTACACAACCACCCCAATCAGCATCCGCGAATGCAACAACTCTTAGTGCTTCCTTTGATGGCTTGAAAAGAAAACCATACTCAATTGTGCCAGCTAAGTATATTAGAATATGTTTGTTAGGTCTTGCTCATGCTATACACTATGTTAGGTCTTGTGTGACATGCATATAGCAGTACACCAACTATACTTCGAAACTCTCGAGCATCTTCAATAAGTTTTCCACCATCCCTTTAAAGTTTATTAGATACTACCATTGGTGTACTAGTAGGAGTTTCCCTTGTCATATTCGACTTCTCTAGTAATTCTGAAATAAACTTCTTTTGAGATAACATAAGACCATTAGGACTACGCTGGACTTCAATCCCCAAGAAGTAATTCAATTCACCAAGGTCCTTTAACAAGAAATTAATTTTGAGTGATTGAACCACTCGTTCCATTGCAGTAACTGACTGACCATTGATCACAATATCATCGACATAAATAAGTATATAGGTTAATTCCCCTTCAGTAAGTGAAATGAACAATGATGCATCTTCCATTGACACATGAAACCCTATCTTTATCAGGCTATCTTTCAGTTTGTTATTCCATTTCCTGGAGCTTGACGCAGCCCATACAAAGCCTTATGAAGCTTACATACAAGCTTGGTCCCATCCTCGGCCAACTTCTCAATTCCAGGCGGCTGTTGCATAAAAACTTCCTCAATCAAATCACCATGGAGAAAAGCGTTATTAACATCCACATGTCGTAGTGGCCACTATTTTGTTACAACTATGGAGATAATAACATTTAGTGTTGGGAATTTGACCACGGGACTAAAAGTTTCCTTGAAGTCATGTCCTGGTACTTGCAGAAATCCCTTTGCCACTAATCTGGCTTTGTAACGTTGAACTGAGCCATCGGGATTTTTTTTTCAATTTGAATAACCATTTGCAGCCAACTATTGTTCGTCCAGTTGGTAGTGGAACCAATGTCCATGTTCCATTTCGTTATAAGGCAACAAGTTAATCATGAACAGCAGAAGTCCATTGGCTCGACTTCATAACCTGATGAATATCAGTAGGTATGACAGTATCTTCTATTATAAGAAATACCTTAGGTTTGAAAATCTCATGCTTGCTTCTAGTAACCATAGGGTGAGCGTTGATTAGTGGAACATGATCAGGAACACTTGCATCCTCGACTAAAGGCTGATCTGACTCATTAACTCCTTCAGCACTGACCATAGGAGGACTACTCATGTGTGAATTTTGAGTCGAGTGATCTGAAGATTCAATTACGTTACTCAACTCATCACCATGACCCACTTCATTCTCAGTAGAGCTTGCCTGAGACGATGTACCAGGATGTTCCAGAATTGTTTCCACTGCAGTAGGGCACGTGCTATGTCTTCGAGGAACGACTTCTAGCGATGTTGATCATGGAGATGGAACCACGTGATGA